TAAAATATTTTGGTGGAGGTAAAATAAAAATTTTTTTACAGAGCATTTGACTAGTTGAAATATTATTCGTGAATGATACACATAAGTTTAAAAAATGTTATTTATGGCGAATTTTCTAAAATTCATAGGGTAGTTACTTAACATGAATACAATTCATACAAATTCATGTTTTTCAAGATTGATAAAACGTGGGAATTATTTAGTTTTCAAAAAATTTATAAAACCCTAGATAGAATAGTCTTAAATTTTGGATATTTATGCATAGGGACGTCAATAGCTTTTTCAATCTCGCTATAAAAAAATTTTTTTTAATTATTTTGTAAATTACATTTTTTTTAGCAAACATTATCCGTACACATATATCTGTTATATTATCCGTAGTAATATATATTTTTGATTGGAACAATTATCAATTTAGAAATGCTTATATAAAATTACTTAAACATAACCGATCTGAAGTTATTTTTATTCATTTTCCAATAACTAATGCATTATTAAAATACAGTTTATAAATATGGTTGTTAAATCCGGGCATATTACACCGGGAATGTATTTATTGAAAGAAATATTACCAAAATTCTCAATTTTTAAAATATTTTTTAAAAATCTTAAAAAAAAGTTATCGCAATGCATTGAATGTGCTGCACATGGAATTTTAATAATTAAAGATATATTTACCATGCAGCGAAAAATGTATATAAGGACTAAAACCATAACAAAAGAAATTAAAGGGAATAAATATCGTCATTTCTGCAAAACTAAAAGAGAAATAAGGTAATAATTAACCGTACAAATACCAAGTCTACCACGTTAGGTTGGTGTAAGCTCCAAGAAGTTGGCTGAGCAATTAGAAGCACTAAAAATAAATCATAAGTCATTTTTAGTGCTTTTGTGCTTCAAATCATTGTACAGCCAAAAAGGTCGATTGAAAGCATAAACAATAAAATATATATCATTCTTTAGTGTTTCGTTAGTAGAGGTTAGTGCTACAATAAGTTTAGTAGCCGAAATTAAGAATCAAAAGTTTTTGTGAAATATACAAAAATAAGCAAATAAAGGCGATATGCCAAAACAAAATAAAAGCAATGAACTTTTAGTTTTCACTAATATTTTGTGCTTAATTAATATATTTAAAATATTTTATTAATATAATAAACGACGTGGTAAATCAAGTTAGAAGTTAAATAAAAATAATGACACAATAGAAATAATAGATTCCTGGAAGATAATAGATTCCTGGAAGATAATACAGCCATCGGAAATTAAAAAAATAGAAACATTTATTGGTGTTGAAAGGGTTGATTATATTAGAAATGAAATCTATATTTGATAATGTATTTTACTAAACTTTTAATTTATATTCTTATTATTTGCATTATTACTTATCTGTTGTTACTTTAGTATAATAAAATATAGTATAATAATTTAAAATTGTTTACAATTTGAACAATATCATTAATTCACAAAATATTCTAACAAATTTTTTAACCCTATTTATTAAATAACATATTAAATTCATATTCATTTTTTGAGGAGAAGTGAGGAACGGAGGTATTAATATTTTTTATTAAAACAACCAAATTTGTTAGGGAGGGAAAATTTTCCGCTTCCCTATCCTCTATTTGGTACGGTCAATTCCATTGTTCTGACAAGTGTTCATCACGATTAGATAATCTTTTCATAAATGTCGTACGAATTGTTTGGGCTATAATGTAGTTTCAAATAAACATTGCTAAGAAAGTGCCAATCAATTCGAACAATATTTATTTATAGAACGTTTAAATTAGAAAAAAGCTTAATATTTGGAGAATTGAAAAAAAAATGTAATAGAAAATATATTAGATATGATTTTCAAAATTTGTTGTTTATACTATAATCTAATATATATAATGTCCATAATCACATGATGATCGTTTTCGTATCTCCGTAATGTATTTAAAATTTAAGGAGATTATATAGTGTAATGTTAATTTTTTTTAAATTTTTTTTTTGCCATCATCGGGATTCGAACTTGCGACTTCACGATTTGAAGGCAAACTTTATATCAATGCAGCAACCCTCAACTTTTATTTTATGATAATTCTTCATATATATTTAATTTAAATTAACAATCATTTTTTATTTTTTAAATTTTGCCGTTAATTTTCATTTATTATTGGATAAGAAAATTTTCAAATTATGGTAAGTATAAATTTATTGTCCAATTATTTTATTGTAATCTACTTACTAATATAGTTTGTAAAACAAAGACATTTATTACAGAGACCTGTAGGTAAAATTTTGCACAGATTGGAATTATAAGAAAATATTCAAATTGTGGTAAACATTTTGCTGTTAAATTATTTTATTGTAATATATTTACAAACTTAGTTGGTAAAGCTAATTAATTACAGAGACCTGTAGGTAATATTTTGCACATATTCGAATTATTAAAAATAGCGTTACGCTCTCATGTCACACTTTTCGTGTCCCACTTTATTATATATTCAAAAAATCGTTAATTTTTAAAACCTTTGGCCCAATCGGGCAAGAACTTCGCTTACAAATCTAGATGGGTTATTGGACTTGGGTTCTAATCTCGGCAAATTTTTATTTTTTTTAATCTGGTAAAATATTTTTTTTTCTTAATCTGACAAATTTAATCAAATAGATACGATACAAAGAGTACGAGATTTTTTTAATTCTTGAATTTATGTATAATTTAAAATTTAAACCATTATGTGGGGAATCAAAATTTTCTCTTTTATTTGATGAGGGATGAATCAGAAATTTTCCTATCTTATGAGGTGTTATTTAAAAATTTATATTTATATAGGGTTATTCTAAAATTTTCCATTATTTTTATAAAATATTTATGTGTACAATTAAAAAGTCTTTTAAAATAAATTTTTATTCATTTGTATTTTATAATCTAAAAATTTATTCTTGCAGATGAGAGTTTTATATTAAAACCCTTAAGAAGGATTCATTCCACATTAAATTTTATACAACTTTATATCTCTTAATAAGGTAATTTTTATGCATAAGTAAATATTTGCATCTCTCTTATCTTTTCTGAAATTGGCCTTTCTACATGCATCCCATAGTTTTTTTATTTTCTCATAAATTCATAATTTAATTTTAGAATGTATATTTTCATAACTTATAACATTTTTGATTAAATGTATAACTTTTTTGTTTAACTTATATATAATTTGACTATGATTAAAGTTCTCCTATTATTTGTTTCATTAGAATATCTTTTTATTTTTTCTATTGTAATTTAATAACAAAGTCTTAAATTGATATTTTGTAACTAAGTAATAAATCATTTGGAAGGGTGGTGGTTTGTTTAAAATTTAAATTAGAATGAACATATTATTAGCATGGTATTTTAATATGTATTCATGATTTTCATATAAATACCAGGCAGGAGCTAACCAGTAGAATGATAGGAAAATCAGATATTTCCCCTTCATTTGATCTTAATTTTGAAAAATTTTCCCAATAATATAAATTGCAAAAAAATTATATACATATTAGACAGATTTAATTCTTATAAACCCCTACATCCCACCTAATTTTCTATATTCAAGTAAATTATTCCGGGTTTTCCTGGGTTTGGGAAATATTTTTCACAATTAATATGGACTTGGAAGTAGCTGGGAAACATTATTTAAATTTAATATAGTCTTAGATTCCTAATATTTTAAATATGGGTTAGAAATTGGCCTGAAAATTTCTTTTGGAGACATGGCCAGGCCTGATCAAATACCAAGGCCCATGCAACTTTCATATTCTGATTGTATTTTTAAATGCATTGTGACTTTTTATATTATTTCAGTTCTCAACTATCAAAATTATTATGGTCTTTTTGAAAAAAATTTCTCAAGTGTGTGGACCTGGCTTGTGATTTTTTTTGTATAGGTGTAATATTTAACACAGAATATATGGCCCTCAGGTAAAACCTAATTTAAATATATTTTTATAAAAATAGTATACATTCTCAGTCTTAATGGGTTGGCCTTTGTCTGAAGTAGGGGTGAGCTGGGTTAAAATAGAATAAAAAATAGATATGGTTTTAAGAGATTTACCTATCTCCCAGGTTGGGAAAAATTTTTGTAAATTACTAAGGGTTGGCCAGGCTTGGGAAAATTCTTTTTATAAAATTTTTATAGGTTGGGCTGGGTTTGAAAAATATTTTTAATAATTATATTAAGCTGGGCTTGGGGAAAATTTTTCAAAAATATTATGAGCTAGAATGCTTGAGAATTTTTTTATTAACTAGTCAGACATTGGCCTAAAAAAAATTTTATGCAGGCCTGGGCTCGGCCTGATCAAAAAACCTAGGCCCATGAAAATCTGATTTTGATTGTATTTTTAACATTATGATTATTTAAATATTTTATTCAGTTCTCAGCTACCAAAATTATTATATTCACTGGGCTTGGAAGAATTTTTCAAAATTATTATGATTTTGTACTTTGCCAATTTTTTTAATATTAAATATTAGGTATAAATGATCATAATATCTATCAAATAATATTGGTATTAGTAAAAGCTTTCGATTTAATTTTACCAAACCATAGTATTTACACGTAGTTTTAATGGATTAAACCTGGCATGAAGAGGGGGGGAGGGATTAAAAGCATAATAATTGGATATTATTTTCAAATAAGAGGTAACAACTATCATAAAAGTAAGAAAAAAATTCTCATTCCCCGTTATTTTTGAGGGGCTATCTTCTAGTTTTATTATAATAGATTATCCATTATTCAAGGTTAAAAACACCGATAAAATCTTAAATATTAATATTTTCTGCTCACATTATCTCTTATTATTAAAATCAATACATTTTTGAAATTTATATTCCATAGATAACCCATTTTTCAAGGTTAAATGTCAAATCTAAAATATTTTAAAATGATTTTTAATATTTTTTTGAGAACATTACCTCTTATCAAAGATATTTTCTTTTATAATAATTGAAAAAAAAAATTATTTTTCTTATACAAGATTCTTAAATATTTAAATAAATTGTAATTATAAATCGTCCTTAAATTATATAACTCGAATTTTCAAGAAAATGCGATTCATTATATTCCTATGCATCTTTGTTTTTAAAGCCAATCCAATTCCAAGTGGTTAAAACAATTTTTATAATTATATATGTATAAGAAATGTCCTTCGTTGGCTTAAAGAAGGTAGAAAAAAATAAAAAAAAATTTTGTAATAGGAAATAGAATAGGTAAAGGAAAATTAATTGCTCGATTCTCCTCTACTTTGAGCTAATCTTGCTAACTGATACACCGTTCTATATACAGTCGGTGTAGTAGTTTAATATGGAATACCCTCCTATCCTTGTCTAAGATGAAATGTATGCGAGACAAAATCACCAATGATATCCTTCGAAATAACTACCTTTTTGAATATAAACGACGTGATTTATTTGATGTCCAGTAATTCGATAAAGCATGTCATTAGAAATTTTGTCATTTTGTCTGAGGTTCAAAATAGCTTATCAACTAGTTTATGACATGTCCAATATTTGAATAACAGTATTTATATTTTATTTCAGGATCGGAATTTTTATTGTAGTAAAGATATTAATTTTTTTAAATTAACGTGGAACATTTTTTTGATTTTCCATATCATCGCAGTGAATGAATGAACCCTTTCCTTATATTTATACAATTATGTATTTAGCAGATATAAAATGCAAATATATACGAATTAAGGTTTGGCCTTAAAGAATTTAAAAAATTATCCTTATAAATATCGTTTTGCATAATCCAAGTTATTTTCGATAAGGATAATTTGAATGAGGTGACTATACTATGTATATTTTCTCTTTGAAATATAGATGCTTAATGTTACACTGTTCGTTTATTTAAGTATAATAAAATTGAGATGGAATAACAATAGAATTATTTGCTAAAGGGAATATATTTGATAGATGAATTCAGAATTTTTAATTAGATAAAATTATTCCATTATGATCTAATAATTAATTTAGCAAAAATGGGAAGAGTCTATATATCAATGACAATTATATTTAATTTGTCGCATTATGATTCAAAAAAACACCCGGGGTTCTAAATAATATCAAAAAATATTAAATTTACTATACTGTAATAAAACATTATAGCTTTAACCACTGAACTCAGACAACTATGTTGGACGAAACATAAGCATGATTATCCTAACCTATTCAATACTATAGATGATTACGAGTGAGAAATTAATATTTTATGAAATAACGTACAGGCGTGGCATATGAGAATATATTTTAAATCATATTAGATTGAGAATTATTAAACAAATTTTTTTTTCTAATCCTTTTCCAAAATCACAGAATATCTATTTTTGAGTTTCCATATATAAAGGCTTGAAGCAGAAGGCAAATATGATTTTATTTTATTTATAAAAAATTAATGTAATTTATTTGAAGACAGATGATTCACATGATGCTAGTGTGAACATCTGGTTTGAGATCCAAATTATTTTAAAAACAATGGTGATCACATCTTAAGATTAATATATGTATTATAGTTTGGTATTTCTTTAACCTGAGAGTCTTTATGTTAAAAATTTATATTTTAGAAGGATTTAATAAAATTCCGATCCAACATTAAATAGGTTTAAGGCTAAATCTGGCTATCTCAACAATTTCAGAGTTATATTTATTCGATAACTACTTCATTTTATAGTAATATTTTTACTTATGCTCCTCATAAACACCCCCCCCCCCTTGTTTCCAAAGTCAAAATTTTCAACAAAAAAACTATTTTGGCATATATACATTATGTGTCTAAAACTCGATTCCATAATTTTAATAATAAAATAATTTTTAAAAAAAATAAACTTTTCCATTAAATCTGTTTTCTTTAAAATATTTATTGACGATAATAATATACAGAAAATTCAGTTTTTATTATATATGAATGATAATTATAATAAATAAAGGTTTTCAATTATATCTTAGTAGAGGAGAAAATAATTCAAGAATATCCTTTATCCAAGGGGGTGATAGAAACCTAGATACATATTCATCAACAATATTACCAACAAAACGATAAATTTAATTGAGTGGCCTCAATTATTATACCTAATGCGATTGAACGAACTCAATTTAACATTAAATATTATAGCTGATGTGAGTAGTCATTATTTATATAAATTAGCAACCTTTTTTTTTAGTTCGAAATTGGTTTTAATAACATTAGCGCTACGATTATGCTATGTATGATGCCTTTAAACAATTTTGTGACAAATATGTGCGTGGAACTATTAAACGCAAATGTGAGATAGGAAGGAAGAAATCAAGGATGGAAGGAAGGAAGGATGGATGGAAGGAAGGAAGGAAGGGAGGAAGGAAGGAAGGAAGGAAGGAAGGAAGGAAGGATGGAAGGAAGGAAGGAAGGAAGGAAGGAAGGAAGGAAGGAAGGAAGGAAGGAAGGAAGGAAGGAAGGAAGGAAGGAAGGAAGGAAGGAAGGAAGGAAGGAAGGAAGGAAGGAAGGAAGGAAGGAAGGAAGGAAGGAAGGAAGGAAGGAAGGAAGGAAGGAAGGAAGGAAGGAAGAAAGGAAGGATGAAAAGTGAAGTTTAATAATAATGAAGTTAAATAATTTTTGTTTTAAATTTATTTATGTAGCTTACAAAAACAGTTAGGAATCAAAATGTATCGTTAAAATTAATATATTACAACTTCACAAGTTTAACCGCATATCCAAATTATTTATTCTATTGATCATCATACCGGGGAATTTTTATCAATATCAATATTTAGGTGGAATTATAAATATTTATTCCATTGTCACACACTGTAATTAAATTTTTCATGAAGCAAATTATCTTTTATAATATATATTCCTGCATATTTTTATTTAAAATAAATAATATTCCCAAAATTGAATAAAATTATAATTTAGAAATGCTTATATGAAATTAGTTAAACATAACCATTCTGAAATTAATAATTTTAAAAAATAATCCTAACCACCTTCCGTATTAACTAATTTTATATATTAGGATATGAGATTTTCTTATCTTCTAAATATTTCTCTCGAAACGTTTAGCAGCAAGCTAGTCTTATTGCAAAATGCAATGCGCATAAAATTAGCTGCGATTTGCTCAGCAAAATATGAGACGTTTTCTTCCCAGAGGCCCCTAGATTTTTTTAACAGTTTGAGATGGTATGAGAAAATTAATCCATCTCTTGTTACTTGAATATAATAAAACATAGTTTAAATAAATTGCTGGTTACAATATCATTAATTCTCATAATTCGCAACAGCATTATAAATTCCCAGGATTTTCCACTAGGTTTTAAATAGTATATTATACTCATTCTTTGAGGAGAAATAATAAACTGGGGTAAGTTAGAACTTTTTATATTAGCTTAAACTGATATTTGCTAAATCTAACAAATTTTCAAAAGAATGGAAATTTTTCGCTTCCATCCACTTAACTTGGTAACGTTAGTTCCACTTTTATTCTTCCTGACAAGTTTTTATTATGATAAGATCATCTTTCGATAAATGTCGTAAAGCAGGCGAGTACGCAGGAATTTGGTTTGGGGGGGGGGGGGGATAATAAAATTTTTTAAGAAATATTATTGTTAATTATAAATACTAAGCATAAATTTATTAGGACTAATAACTTTTCTAATATACAATTTTAAACTAATGTGAATTAAAAAAATTATATATATAAACCGGCATTGAAAAACTATAAAATAAATGTGAATTATAAAATCCAAAGTGAATATAACCCACGATATGAATCACTTAAATGACCAAAAATTGAAATTTGAATTTTTTAAGCTTTTAAAATATATAAAGTATAAAAAATTTTAATGGAAATATAAATTAATACACAAAAGGTTTCTTAGGAATAATTGTATTTTGTATGTTTTGAGCTAATTTTTCAATTATCTACCCTTGCTTGACGTTAAATGCCTATGAATATTCAAAAGATCCAAATAATTCAATCTACTTACAGATGTTGTATTTCGTAGGTATGTTTTTCACAGACATGCAGGCCCGGCCCCCGAGCCTGATCATATTTTAATTTTTTTGAATATAACCGCGCCGGGCCCGTAATTTTTTTTTAAAAAAACACCCGGGCGGCCTGAAAATTTTTTTAGAAAAAATATCCGGGCCGAGCTATATATTTTAAAATCAAATGAAATCGCCATTATTTGCTATAAAAATCAAAAATAAATATAGTTTAAAAAATAAGGGCCGGGCCTGAAAATTTTGATTTTCAAAAAAGCCGGGCCGGGCCTTAATTTTTTTAAAAAAAAAACCCGGGCCGGAAAAAATTTTAGAAAAAAATCTGGGCCGTGTCCTTCAAATGGTACCTCTGCAAGGCTCTGTTATTCTTCTTAAAAAAGATAATGTTCTCTCATTAGTTTACTAAAGAGCTGCTAATATATATAACCATTTTAATACATTGGGAGTATAATCTAAAATGTGTTTGAAATAATGCAAAGCATCATAGCATTTTTTGGGACTGTTGTAACCATAGTTAATCTTTTAATCCTAGTTATTCAGCTAATAAGGTATCATAAGATATTTTAACATCTTCATAAAATCTAACAAATATTTATATTTTTTTTCTATCACTATATGAAAAAGGTTGGTAGAGGGGACATTTGTTTTATAATACTCTTCTACTGATCCTATATTAATGTTCTGACGATGAGCTTATTTGCTGCATGTCGAGGGGGGGAGGGGCAAATATTAAACACGTATAGCTCTGCTTTTGACTCAACAATAACATATAAAATATGAAATTCTTCATCAACATTAGCTCTGATTTCCTTGAGTTCTAATAAAATTATCTCCGCTATTCTCATCTTCTTAATCAAGTCAATGTTATGTTTTTGAAAAGTATTACATATAATAGTCCTATAATTAAATAATACATTCTAATGAGAAAAAAAAATTGGAATAAGTATTGAATCCAATAATTTTCTTGCTTCTGAGGAAATATCTCTTTCAAGCCATTGTGATATTTCAGTAATAGCATTAATAATCGGCTCTACTAACTCCACAAAAGCTGTTACTGCTTGATGGCGGAGACTCTATCTCGTTGGGCAAGCTTGCAATTTATTTCTCTCTGTTGGACAAGGAGTTTCAGAGATAATTATTATTTGACTAGAAATTTTGATAAATATTAGGCCACTAAAATTTGAAAATAATAGGTAAATTACGCCAAGGAAAACTTGAAATCAAAATTAATTGATAAAATAACTTAGTAGATGAATGTGATAAATAAATGTAATTATATATATATATATGAGATAGGAATAAATATTAACAAATATAAATTAATATTAACAATAATATTTTTGAAAAATATAATCCATCATCTGCATTTTTTGGCTTTGGGGGGGGGGGCCCCCTGCTCCCCCCCCCCCCCACTGCGTACGCCAATGTCGTAAAGAAATATTGTTTGGGCTATATTGTAGTTATAATCAAATAAACATTGGTAAGAAAGTGTCAATCGATTAGAACAACATTGATTTATTTTTATAGAACATACCTTAGAAAAGAAAATGAATAATAATTGGAGAATTGAAAACAAATTTAATTGAAAATAGGTTAGATATGTTTTTCAAAGTTAGTTGTATACTATAATTTTATTACCAAAGATTAACCCCAGGTTAAAATTTTTTTAATACTTTCTGTACCCATTATCGCTTATTATTAAGATCAATGAATTATTTTTAATTAAAATTATATATATACAAGGTATTTCAACTCTAAAATAAAATAAAATGCTAATCTTTGCACAATATAATTTTAAAAAAAATCTAATTTTACTTAGATAAAATTTTTAAGTATTATAAATAAATTGTAATTTTAAATCATTTTTTTTTTAAAAAATTTTTTATTTTTAAAATTATATAACTAGTCAAGAAAATGAGATTAATTCTATTCCTATGCATCTTTGTTTATATCAAAGCCAGTCGGACTCCAAGTGGTTAAAAGAAATTTTTTAATTATATATGTAATAGAATTGTATTAGATGTTATAATCTCATAATATTGGGTTTAAGGAATAGAATATCTATTTTTTAACGAGGTAGAAAAAAATAAAAAAAGTTATTTCATAGATCGGAAATAGAATAGATAGAGAAAAATAATTTGATTCTCCTATATTTTAAACTAATTTTGCCAACTAATATGCGTGGGATATTTGTTTTTAATTATTCTCTAAATACAGTTGGTCAAAGATGGAATAACCTCTTGTCCTTATCTATGGTGAAGTGTATGTAAGACAAAGTCATCGCGATTAGTGTAGAATGATATTCTTTATATAAATACTTTTTTGGGTTATAAACGACGTGATTTATATGACGTTCAGTAATACCATAAAGCATATCATTATAAATTTTGTCAATTTGTCTGAGATTCAAAATAGCTTATCAACTTGTTTGTAACATTTATAATATTCGAATAAAGCATATTTTGTCAGTATTTATATTTTTTCAATTTAGGATCGGAATTTATATTGTAGCAAAGATATAATTTTTTTAAATTAACGTGGAATATTTTCTTGACTTCTATAAACATCGTCATGAATGAATAAACTTAACTTTTTCCTTGTATTAGTAGATTTAAATAGTCAATATATTCGAATTATTTTATACAATCTAAATGTCGATATCGATAGGTTGAGTGAGGTGATTTTATCTTTGAAATACTGATACTTAATGCACACTGTTTGTCTATTTGTAATAAAATTATTAAATTTTAGTAATTATCGGTATATTCTAGGTCATGTGTTGAATAACAGTAGAATTGCTGGCTGAGGGTAATATCTATGATAGACATTATAATATTAATATAGAAAAGAAGCAATGACATTTATATTTAATTTGTCACATTTAAATAGTCACATAATTCAAACACCTGGAACTAAAAATAATATCAAAATCACATATTGACTTTACTATAATGTAAATTAAACAATTTTTATTAGTTATAACGACTGAGTTCAAAAAACTATGTTGGCCGAAACATATTGATGATTATCCTAACCTTTTCGATATACGTATTACTAGAGATGTATTCGAGTGAGAAATTATTATTTTATGAAATAATGTACAAGCGTGCCATATTAGAATATTATTTAAATCTATATTAGTTTGAAAATTATATCTACTTTCATTAAAAAATAAATATTATTTCTAAAAATATTAGATAGAATATTTAGTTTATTTATATATGAATCTATATTTGAAAAAAGTTTATTGAATTTATATCTTAGTAGAGGAGATCTTAATTCAATAATATCCATTATCCAAGGGGGTGATAATAACATAGATACATATTCGTCAAATAATATTACCATAAAAACGTTGATTTTATTTGACCAGCTTCAATTATTAAACCTTGTGAGGTTGAACGAACTCAATTTAACATTAAACATTACAGCTGATGTGAGTAGTCATTATTATACATATTAGTAACTTTCTTTTAGTTCGAGATTGATTTGAAAAGCATTGGTGCATCAATTATATTATGTATGTTGCCTTTAAACAATTTTATGACAAACGTGTGTATGGAATTCATGAACACAAATGTGAGTTAGGAAGGAAGGAAGGAAGGAATTTAATGAAAAGTGTTGTTAAATAATTTTTTGTTTATATTTAAATTTATTATGTAGATTACAATAACCGTTAGGAATCAAAATGTACTGTTGAATTTAATACGTTGGAACTCTGTAAGTTCAACCACATACCAAAATTATTTGTTATATCGATTATCATTGAGATTTCCAAGATAGAATTTTTATCAATATTATTTTTCAGGTGGAATTATAAATATTTCTTGCATTGTTACACACTGCATATAAATAAATTTATTATGATACAAATTATATTTATATTTTAATGATATATTGCATCATTCATTTTATTTTAAAAAAATTAATATACACCGAATATGAGTCACTGGCCCTCAATTTCCTCAATATTAAGTAATACTTGATATGGCCATTTTCCTCATAATTTAGATTTATGAAAAGATGAAAAAGCTTGTAACGAAGAGGAAGTTTAGAAGGAAGGGTATGCAGCCTATAAAATATATAATAGCTAAATTAAAAATAATTAATATCATATATTAATAATTAAGGATTATTTATTATTGCGTAGTCCATTTAACCCTATCCAAATTCAATGAAAATTAAAAAAATCTAAAAAATATCAAAAAAAAAATTAAATAAAAATTAAAGCAAAAATATTATATCTAAAATTTAAAAAATGTTAAAAAGTTACTTCTCCAATTATAACACGTATTAATACGTATAATATTTTTTATAAGAAAATTATCTATATAAAAAAAATTTATTGTCTGTTGCAAAACCAAATTTGAATGTCACAACAAGTTATATACTTAAAATATTTATTTTAATTTTTATTCATATGATTTGATAGAATTATTTATAAGAATGTATTATTGTATATATTAAGTTAAGGACCTTTAGTACAAGCATTTGAATGGATATAACTATTTGTTGCATATAAAATAACGACTATATATTAAATAAATACCTCAAAATGAATAAATATTTAAGTAAATAATTGTAAAAGAAACTAAATAATATACGAAAAAGGGGATTAAAAATTTTTAAAAACGGAAAAATATATCAGGTAAAAAAAATATAATTAAACGTATCTGCATAGAAACAGGATTAGATTCTTTAAAATATTTTGAAGATATACTATTAAAATATTTTAGAGGTAAAATAAAATTCCTGGTTATTTTTCCCCAGACGTTTATAGTATTCGTTGAACACATAAGTTTAAAAAAATGACAATAATTTATGGCGAATTGTCTGAAATTCATAGGGGTACTTTATATATGAATAAAATTCAAACAAGATCATGTTTTTCAAGATTGATAAAACGTGGGAATGATATAAGTTTTTAAAAATTTGGTATAAACCTAGAGTGCATAGTCTTAAATTTTCGATATTAAAACATAGGGGGCGTCACTAGCCTTTACAATCTCGCTCTAAAAAAATGTTAAAATTATTTTAAAAATTGCATTATTTTTAGATAACATTATCAATACACATATATCGGCTATTATATTAATTGTAGTAAATATATATTTGATTGGAACAATTATCAATTTAGAAATGCTTATATAAAATTATTTAAACATAACCGATCTGAAGTTATTTTTTATTGAACAATCATATTCATTTTCCATTAACTAATGCATTATTAAAATACTAAATAAATTTAAGTTTATAAATATGGTTGTTAAATCCGGGCATATTACACCAGGAATGAATTTATTGAAAGAAATATTACCAAAATTCCCAATTTTTAAAATATTTTTTAAAAATTATTAAAAAAAGTTATCGAAATGCATTGCTGCACATGGAATTTTAATAATTAAAGATATATTTACCATGCAGCGAAAAATGTATATAAGGACTAAAACCATAACAAAAGAAATTAAAGGGAATAAATAATGTCATTTCTGCAAAACTAAAGAAATAAGGTAATAATAAACCGTACAATTGCCAAGTCTACCACGTTAGGGTGGTGTAAGCTCCAAATAGTTGTCCGAGCAATTAGCACTAAAAATGAATCATAAGTAATTTAAGTGCTTTTTGATGCTTCAAATCATTGTCTAGCCAAAAAGATCGATTGAAAGCATAAACAATAAAATATATATCATTCTTTAGTGTTTCGTTAGTAGAGGTTAGAGCTACAATAAGTTTAGTAGCCGAAATTAAGAATCAAAAGTTATTTGTGAAATATACAAAAATAAGCAAATAAAGGCGACATGCCAAAACAAAATAAAAGCAATGAACTTTTAGATTTCACTAATATTTAGTGCTTAATTAATATATTTAAATTCTTTTATTAATTTAATAAACGACGTGGTAAATTAAGTTAGAAGTTAAATAAAAATAATGACTCAATATAAATAATAGATTACGGGAAGATAATAGGCCATCGGAAATTAAAAAAATCAGAAACATTTATTGGTGTTGAAAGAGTTAATTATAGTAGAAAAGAAATCTATATTTGATAATGTATTTTACTAAATGAATTATATGAGATAAATAAATGATAATATATAGTATATTTTTAGCTTAAGTCCGTTATAGATGGCTTCGTACGTTCGAGTGGGCAACTTTATTATTAAGATAGAAATTAGGATGTTTGATGGATCGGCAGAATCTTGAAGATGGGTAGACGCAACGATAGAAGAGGAGCAAACCAGGTATGGAGATATAAGGGTAGACAGACCCCCAGGCTGGTCATACAATCGTAGAAGAGAACGGGATTGGGGATCTCGAAGAAGAATGTCGTGCTGGTATTGTGGGGGAGATCATATTTTACGGAGGTGTCCAACGATTAGCGCAGACAATAACATATTAGCAGTACAGGAGGAAGAACCGATGGGAGGACAAGGTAGCAGTTTATGAGTGGTAGAATCAAGTCTAAGTGAAAAGGTGTTTAAGTTATGAAAAAAAGTTTTTTTTATTTTATTATTTGAATATTAAAATGAGAGATGAATATTAAAATTATTCTTAACGAACTTGAATGTACGGAGAATATGATTGTTTATTTTAATTTTATCAGTGTTGAATTTGGATGTTTTTGGTGTGATTAGAAAGATAAATATTAATATATTAAATATAAAAAATACCTTTAGTAATCCAATTTTATTATTCCAATTTTATTAATCCAAAATATTTAAAAAAAATAATAAATTATCTATCGATTCACAAAATATGGGTTTTTATATGTTAATAATAAAAATTAATATTCAAAAAAAATTTTATATGCAAAATTAAAATAAACAATAATATTCTCCGTACATTCGAGTTCGTTAAGGATAACGGGTTTTTATTTATATGTTAATAACAAAAATAAATATTCAAAAAAAAAAATTTATATGCAAAATTAAAATAAACAATCATATTCTCCGTACATTCAAGTTCGTTAAGGATAATTTTAATATTCATCTCTCATTTTAATATTCAAATAATTAAATTAAAAAAAACTTTTTTTCATAACTTTAATACCTTTTCACTTCGACTTGATTCAACCACTCATAAACTGCTACCTTGTCCTCCCATCGGTTCTTATTCCTGTACTGCTAATATGTAATTGTCTGCGCTAATCGTGGGACACCTCCGTAAAATATGATCTCCCCCACAATACCAGCACGACATTCTTCTTCGAGATCCCCAATCCCGTTCTCTTCTACGATTGTATGACCAGCCTGCGGGTCTGTCTACTGTCATATCTCCATACCTGGTCTGCGCATCTTCTCTGGCTGCGTCTACCCATCTTCTAGATTCTGGCGATCCATCAACCATCCTTAATTTCTATCTTAATAATTAAGTTGCCCACTCGAACGTACGAAGCCATCTATAACGGACTTAAGCTAAAAATATGCTATATATTATCATTTATTTATCTCATATAATTCACCTACTTCCTAATTCTAAATGCTCATAATTATTCTCGTAATAACTTATACCTCTCTCATTCTCTCTTACCTTATGTCAGCTGTAATATCAAATTGTCCATCCCTTCAGCCGACCCCACTAATTGTGTACATAATACGTCAACATTATGATTATCATACCTCTCACAGACTTGTTACAAAAACAAATCAGTTATTATTATAACTCTCACAGCCTTGTTAAAAAAAACAAATCAATTATGTGTATCAGCTTTCAACATCATGATTCTCATAACTCTCTCAGACTTATTAAAAAAAACAAATCAATTATGTCTATCAGCATTCCCAACATCATGATTCTCATAACTTTCGCAGACTGTTAAAAAACAAATCAATTATGTCTATCAGCATTCCCAACATCTGATTCTCATAACTCTCGCAGACTTGTTAAAAAACAAATCAATTATGTCTATCAGCATTCCCAACATCATGATTCTCATAACTCTCGCAGACTTGTTAAAAAACAAATCAATTTGTCTATCAGCATTCCCAACATCAAAGCAAATTACCGCCCTTTATTCCTAACCTAGACATCTAGGTCTTAATTGTTTAATATGCCTCGAAACAATCCTACTCTTCCTTCAATTTCTACCATCACCTTCTTTCTTCCTATCCTTCTTCATTATACCTTTCCCCCATTTTACTGAGCCATCAAAAAGTAGTATCCAAACTAGGCTTCCGATCTTAAATTTATCATTAATTATAACTTCTTTCTGTTCTATTCTTTCAGAAAATCTAATTCAGTTCTAGTTTTTCTACCTAAAAATAACTCTGCTGGTGAGTATCCTTTGCTTCTCTTGGTATTGTTGTACGCTAATAGTAATAACCACCATTTTCCTTCTCCATATTTTTCCTTTTTTAACCAACTCTTAACTAGAGCTACCATTCTCTCCTCTTGTCCATTACTTCTCGGGTAATGTGGTGGTGCTAATAAATGCTCAATCTTCCATCTATCACAAAATTTGTCAAATTCTCTGCCTATAAATGCCGGACCACCATCTGATATTAAGGTCTTCATTAATCCATATTTACTTACGAAGTCTACCCTATTCAATGCTACTTTCGTCGACAGACCAGATACCTGTTGACAATCTATCCATTTAGAACCTGCATCTACCATTATAAAATATTTCTTCCTTTCATATTCTAAAAAATTTACGTGTATTCTTTCACATGGTACATCTGTTTCTGGCCATTTGTCTCCCCTAACTTTTGCAGGTACATTCGCACACTTTACATGTTTCATAACTCTTAGCTAATTCTTCAATTTCATTATTCATTCTGGGCCACCAAATGTATTCCCTCGTCTTATTCTTCATTCTTTCTATGCCCTGATGTCCTGTATGTACGGCAGCTAACATGTCTTTCCCTACTTGGTATCACTAAACGATATCCTCTCATTAAACAATTGTCTTCTATATTCAATTCACCTTTACTGTTTTTAAAGGCCTGGTCTCTACCTTCCCATTCTTTATCTCCCTTCAAACAGGCTCTAATTCTCATTAATTCTTCATCCTGCTGGGAAATCTTGTCTACTATCTCTAAAGTTATCGGCCTTTCTCTTGTGTTATCTTTAAAGCTCTTATCACATTACTATTTACTATATTCTAAACTATTTATTATTGGCTCTATTTCCTTGTCTTCTAAGTCCTTATCACATAATCTCGATAATATATCTGGTAAACAATTTTGTTTACCCGCTCTGAATCTTATTTCGAAATCAAAATTCCCTAACAACATAAGCCATTTCTGTAACCTTGGTGACATCATCAACTCCTTATTATCTCTTTTAAAAGCCCTACCAGCGATTTGTGATCCGTATATAACAAAAATCTCCGGCTTAACAAATACTCTCTACATTTGGTTAAACCAAACTTGACTGCTAAGGCTTCCCTTTCTATAGTTGAATAATTTCTTTCAGCCTTATTAAACTGTCTTGACACAAATAAAATCGGCCTTTCTACATTATCAACTATTTGTGATAAAGCTCCTCCTATACCTTCATTAGATGCGTCCACTGCTAAAACAATATCTAATTCCTCATTAAAGCAAATCAACATAGGTTTCTCTACCAACTTTATTTTCAATTTTTTAAAACTATTGAAAACATCTTACTCGTGTTCTCGTTCACTTTAATCTATAAATAAGCGTTAGAAAAATCAATCTTCGAAAAAATTGTTGCTCCTTCTAGATTTGCTAATATCCTCGGTAATGGATAAACTGTGCTAATCCATGGATTTAACGAAACTCTATAATCTATGCATAATCTTAAACTATTATCTGCTTTTCTAATGGGGACTAACGGTGTCGCCCACTCGCTATGCACTATAGGTCGTATTATGCCTTCTTTTAACCATTTATTTAATTCCTTATCGACTTCTTTTAAAAGGGCAATCTCCTTACTCCACAAAATTTAGGCTGGTAATTTTCTAATAATTTTATATTTACTTCAACATCTTTTAGTGTCCCTAACTCTTCTTTAAAAACCTCCAAGTATTGATTTACAATCATACTTATTTCATGGCTGTATATATTTTCAATAATCTCTTCCTGTTCTACTGTTTTCTTAATTATCTGTTTGTTGATTTCAACGGGTGTTACCTTTAAAGACTTTATATCTCTTGAAATCTTATTCTCTTTATCTCTATATTTAATCAAAAACTCTGGTGTTCGATTTCTAAGTTTATCGAGAACTAATTCTTGTTTATCCTCTATAATAGGTAACTTAAATCTATCGAAATCACTCCTTATTATTTCACTATTTTCATCATTACCTACAGGGATAGTTTCGAAAAAATTCCACCAATTATAAACCCGACCTATCGTTCTTATATCGCACCATCCTAAAATTGGCTCAACCTTCAACGTAGTTATCCATAAATTTATATATTTATTGACTCCTGGTAACCTTAATCTATAATAACATAAAATTTTCACAACACTACCATCTAATTGTTTGGCTCTTATCTTTTTCACAACAAATTCTTCTTCTGGCCAAAATCTCATAAAATCCTTAATAATTTCAGCTCCTGTATCTAATAAAAAACATATCTCTGCTTCTTCAACTTTTATCTTGACTCTCGGACCTTTATTTTTCATTAAAAAATCTTCTAATTTAATCTTTCGTATGTCTAAAGTTGAATCCTTTCGTCTATATATTTCAAAATTCCCACTTTCTATTTCTATATATCTCCTTTTACCTATACTTCTATTATTAGTACTCAAATTATAATTATCAACATTAAAACACTCATTATCATTATTCTTACTTGAACTAAAATTATCACCATTAGAAAAATTATTATTATTACAAAATTTATCAATAAAATTAAAATATCTATTCTTACTTGAATTAACATTACCAACATTAGAAATTATTATTATTACCAAATTTTGAATTAAAATTATCAACATTAGAAAAATTATTATTATTAAAAATTTGTCATTAAAATTAAAATATCTCTCTCTTAGTCATTTATTGCACTTTTCATGTGTGTCCCCCTCTTGGCCACAACTATTACACCTTAAAATCAAATTTTTTACTCTGCATCTTATAGCTACATGGCCATTCTTGCCACATCTCGCGAATTTCAAATCCTTTGTTAAATCAAAATCACGCGACATATGGCCTGGCTGACCACAGCTATAGCAATTAATTCGTCTGAAAATCTTTGTACTTCTAGAAATGTTTATGTTTCTCTCCTTATTTTCCTCATTTAATATATTTTTTATCTTATCTAATTCCTTATTTTCTATTTTTATGTACAATGTATTTCTACCTAAAATTAAACCTAATAAAAATGCTAAAACTATTACCGAAAATATTATTACCATTATATTTTCCAACAATAAATTCCTTAATATAATTTAGATACATTACAAAGAATTCAAAATAATTTTAATCACAAGTAACTTAATGCTGCGGCCAAAATTATACAACAATGCAATTAATATTATGATTAAAATCAAAGCATAAAACGGCATTAAAAATAAAAGAACAGAAAATATATATATATAATATAATTTATTTTTTTTACCTTAAATACGGTGATATATACAAAAAATTGACTTCTAATCACAATTTATTTCTTCTAAATTTAATTGTAGTCTATTTATTAGACTGAATATCTCCGGTCCCTGAGTATGTTTAATCTTCGGACCAGTGTTGAATTTGGATGTTTTTGGTATGATTAGAAAGATAAATATTAATATATTAAATATAAATAATACCTTTAGTAATCCAATTTTATTACTCCAAACTATGTAAAAAAAATAATAATGATATTTCGATTTACAAAATACGAGTTTTTATATGTTAATAACAAAAATTAATATTCAAAAAAAATTTTATATGCAAAATTAAAATAAACAATAATATTCTCCGTACATTCGAGTTCGTTAAGGATAACGGGTTTTTATATGTTAATAACAAAAATTTATACTCAAAAAAAAAATTTTATATGCAAATAAACAATCATATTCTCCATACATTCAAGTTCGTTAAGGATAATTTTAATATTCATCTCTCATTTTAATATTCAAATAATAAAATAAAAAAAACTTTTTTTTCATAACTTTAACACTAAACATTTAATTTATATTCATATTATTTGCATTATTATTTATTTGTTGTTACTTGAGTATAATAAAATATAGTATAATATTTAAAATTGTTTACAATTTAAACAATATCATTAATTCACAAAATATTCTTAGGAATTTCTAACCTTATTTATTAAATAAAATATTAAATTCATATTCTTTTTGAGAAGAAGTGAGAAACGGAGGTATTAATATTTTTATTAAAATAACCAAATTTGTTAGGGAGGGAAAATTTCCCGCTTCCCTATCCTCTATTTGGTACCGTCAATTCTATTGTTCTGATAAGTGTTCATCACGATTAGATAATCTTTCCATATATATCGTAGAGACAAATTGTTTGGGCTATAATGTAGTTTCAAATAAACATTGCTAAGATAGTGCCAATCAATTTAATCAATATTTATTTATAGAACGTTTACATTAGATAAAAAGCTTAATATTTGGAGAATTGAAAAAAAAATATAATATAAAATATATTAGATATGATTTTCAAAATTTGATGTTTATACTATAATTTTATTATAATAGAATATCCATTATTCAAGGTTAAAAATACCGACAAAATTCTTAAATATTAATTATTTCTGTTCACTTTATCTCTTACTATTAAGATCGATACATTTTTGAAATTTATATTCCATAGATAACCCATTTTTCAAGGTTAAATGTCAAATCTAAAATATTTTAAAATGATTTTTAATATTTTTTTGAGAACATTAGCTCTTATCAAAGATATTTTCTTTTATAATAATTGAAAAAAAAAAAAATTTTTCTTATACAAGATTCTTAAATATTTAACTACATTGTAATTTTAAATCGTCCTTAAATTATATAACTAGAATTTTCAAGAAAAAGCGATTCATTATATTCCTATGCATCTTTGTTTTTAAAGCCAATCCAATTTCAAGTGGTGCAGATATAAAATTCAAATGTATACGAATTAAGGTTTGGCCTTAAAGATTTAAAATTATTCTTATAAATATCGTTTTACACAATATAAGGGTTATTTTTCGATAAGGATAATTTGAATGAGGTAACTTTACTGTGTATATTTTCTCTTTGAAATTTAGATACTTAATGTTACACTGTTGGTTTATTTAAGTATAATAAAATTGAGATGGAATAACAATAGAATTATTTGCTAAAAGGAATATATTTGAAATTTGATAAAATTATTCCATTATGTTCTTATAATTAATTTAGAAAAAATGGGAAGAGTCTTTATATCGATGGCATTTATATTTAATTTGTCGCATCATGATTCAAAAGAACACCCGGATAATATCAAAAAATATTAAATTTACTATACTGTAATAAAACTTTATAGCTGTAACCACTGAACTCAGTTAACTATGTTGGACGAAACATAAGCATTATTCTAACCTATTCAATTCTATAGATGATTACGAGTGAGAAATTAATATTTTATGAAATAACGACAGGCGTGCGTGGCATATGAGAATGTATTTTTCATATTAGATTGAGAATTATTAAACATTAATTTTTTTTCTAATCCTTTTTCAAAATCACAGAATATCTATTTTTAAGTTTCCATAGGTAAAGGCTTGAAGCAGAAGGCAAATATGATTTTATTTTAATTATAAAAAATTAATTTAATTTATTTGAAGACAGATGATTCATGGATGCTAGTGTCAACGTCTGGATTGAGATCCAAATTATTTTAAAAACAATAGTGATCACATCTTAAGATTAATATATGTATTAGAGTTTGGTATTTCTTTAACCAGAGAGTCATTATGTTAAAAATTTATATTCTAGAAGGATTTAATAAAATTCTGATCCAACATCAAATAGGTTTAGGGCTAAATCTGGCTATCTCAACAATTTCAGCGTTATATTTATTCGATAATTACTTCATTTTATAGTAACATTTTTACTTATGCTCCTCATAAACACCCCCCCCCCCCCACCCTTCCAAAGTCAAAATTTTCAACAAAAAAAACTATTTTGGCATATATACACTATGTGTCTAAACCTCGAATTCCATAATTTTAATAATGAATTAATTAAAAAAAATTAAATATTAATTATTGAGGCACTCTAAATGACTCTTTTTCATTAATTCTGTTTTCTTTAAAATATTTTTTGACGATAATAATATACAGAAAATTCAGTTTTTATTGTATATGAATGATAATAAATAAAGGTTTTCGGAATTATATCTTAGTAGAGGAGAAAATAATTTAATAATATCTTATATCCAAGGGGGTGATAGAAACCTAGAGATACATATTCATCAAACAATATTACCAACAAAACGATAAATTTATTTGAGAGGACTCAATTATTAAACCTAATGCGATAGAACGAACTCAATTTAACATTAAATATTATAGCTGATGTGAGTAGTCATTATTTATATAAATTAGCAACCTTTTTTTTAGTTTGAAATTGGTTTTAATAACATTAGCGCTACGATGCTTTGTATGATGCCTTAAAACAATTTTGTGACAAATATGTGCGGGAACTATTAAACGCAAATGTGAGTTAGGAAAGAAGAAAGCAAGTAAGGAAGGATGGAAGGGAGGAAGGATGGAAGGAAGGATGGAAGGAAGGAAGGATAAAAGGAAGGAAGGATGAAAGGAAGGAAGGATGGAAGGAAAGAAGGAAAAGTGAAGTTTAATAATAATGAAGTTAAATAATTTTTGTTTATATTTAAATTTATTTATGTAGCTTACAATAACAGTTAGAAATCAAAATGTATCGTTAAAATTATATATTACAACTTCACAAGTTTAACCGCATATCCAAAATATTTATTCTATCGATTATCATGGAGCTTACCAAAGGGAAATTTTTATCAATATTAATATTTAGTTGGAATTATAAATATTTCTTCCATTGTAACTCACTGTAATTAAATTTTACATGAAGCAAATTATCTTTTATAATATATATTCCTGTATTATTTTTATTTAAAATAAATAATATTCCCAAAATTGAATATGATTTTAATTTAAAAATGCTTATATGAAATTAATTAAACATAACCATACTGAAATTATTAATTTTAAAAAATAATCCTAACCAAATCCTTTCGTATTAGTATTACCTAATTTTATTTATTATATGAGCTTTTCTTATCTTCTAATCTCTCGGAACGTTTAACAGCAAGCTAGTCTTGTTGCAAAATGCAATGCGCATAAAATTAGCTGCGACTTGCTCAGCAAAATATGAGACGGTTTCTTCCCAGAGGCCCCTAGATTTTTTTTAACCAGTTTGAGATGGTAATGAGAAAACTAATCTATCTCTTGTTACTTGAATATAATAAGATATAGTATAAATAAATTGTTGGTTACAATATCATTAATTCTCATAATTCGCAACAGCATTATAAATTCCCAGGATTTTCCACTAGGTTTTAAATAGCATATTATACTCATTCTTTGAGGAGAAATAATAAACTGGGGTGAGGGAAAGTTAAAACTTTTATTAGCTTAAACTGATATTTGCTAAATCTAACAAATTTTCTAAAGAATGGAAATTTTTCGCTTCCATCCACTTAACTTGGTAACGTCAGTTCCACTTTTATTCTTCCTGACAAGTTTTTATTATGATAAGATCAACTTTCGATAAATGTCGTAAAGAAAAATTGTTTGATCTATAATGTAGTTATAATCAAATAAACATTGGTAAGAAAGTGCCAATCAATTCGAAACATTTATATATAGAACATTTACATTAGAAAAGAAAATGAATAATATTTGAAGAATTGAAAACAAATTTAATTAAAAATAGGTTAGATATGTTTTTCAAAAATCGTTGTTATAATTTTATTACCAAAGATTAACCCCAGGTTAAAAAAATTTTAATACTTTCTGTATGCATTATCGCTTATTATTAAGATCATTGAATTATTTTTAATTTAAATTATATATATACCAGGTATTACAACTCTAAAATAAAATAAAATGCTAATCTTTGCACAATATAATTTTAAAAAAAATCTAATTTAATTAGATAAAATTTTAAGTATTTTCAATAAATAAATTGAAATTATGAATCGTTTTTTTTATAACTAGAATTTTCAAGAAAATGAGATTAATTCTATTCCTATACATCTTTGTCTATATCAAAGCCAATTGGACTCAAAGAGGTTAAAAGAAATTTTTTAATTATATATGTAATAGAATTGTATTAGATCGTATAATCTCATAATAATTGGGTTTAAGGAATAGAATATCTATTTTTTAACGAGGTAGAAAAAAATAAGAAAAGTTATTTTATAGATCGGAAATAGAATAGATAGAGAAAAATAATTTGATTCTCCTATATTTTAAACTAATCTTGCCAACTATATGCCGTGGGATATTTATTTTTAATTATTCTCTAAATACAGTTGGTCAAAGATGGAATAACCTCTTATCTTTATCTATGGTGAAGTGTATGTAAGACAAAGTCATCGCGATTAGTGTAGAATGATATCCTTCAAAATAAATACCTTTTTAAGTTATAAACGACGTGATGTATATGACGTTCAGTAATTCCATAAAGCATATCATTAGAAATTTTGTCAATTTGTCTGAGATTCAAAATAGCTTATCAACTTGTTTGTGACATTTATAATATTCGAATAAAGCTTATTTTTGTCAGTATTTATATTTTTTCATATTAGGATCGGAATTATATTGTAGCAAAGATATTAATTTTTTTAAATGAGCGTGGAATATTTTCTTGACTTCTATAAACATCGTAAAGAATGAATTAACTTTTTCCTTCTATTAGCAGACTTAAATTGTCAATATATTCGAATTATTTTATACAATCTAAATGTCGATATCGATAGGTTGAGTGAGGTGATTTTATCTTTGAATTACTGATACTTAATGCACACTGTTTGTCTATTTGTAAAAAAATTATTAAATTTTCTTTGAGCTGTAATTATCGGTATATTCTAGGTCATGTGTTGAATAACAGTAGAATTGCTGGCCAAGGGTAATATCTATGATAGACTTTATAATATTAATATAGAAAAGAAGGAGAAAGTCTTTATAACAATGAAATGTATATTTAATTTGTCATATTTAAATAGTCACATGATTCAAGCACCAGGAACTATAAATAATATCAAAATCACATTTTGACTTTACTATAATGTAAATTAAACAATATTTATTAGTTATAACGACTGAGTTCAAAAAACTATGTTGGGCGAAACATATTGATGATTATCCTAACTTTTTCGATATACGTATTACTAGAAATGTATTCGAGTGAGAAATTATTATTTTACGAAATAATGTACAAGCTTGCCATATAAAAATATTATTTAAATCTATATTAGTTTGAAAATTATATCTGCTTTCTTTAAAAATTAAATATTATTTCTAATAATAGACAGAAGATTTAGTTTATTTATATATGAATGTATATTTGAAAAAAGGTTTTTGGATTTATATCTTAGTAGAGGAGATAATAATTCAATAATATCCATTTTCCAAGGGGGTGATAGGAACCTAGATACATATTCGTCAAATAATATTACCAAAAAAACGTTGATTTTATTTGACCGGCTTCAATTATTAAACCTAGTGCGGTTGAACGAACTCAATTTAACATTAAACATTAGAGCTAATGTGAGTATTCATTATTATACATATTAGTAACTTTCTTTTAGTTCGAGATTGATTTGAATAGCATTGGTGCAACAATTATATTCTGTATGTTGCCTTTAAACAATATTATGACAAACATGTGTATAGAATTCATGAACACAAATGTGAGTTAGGAAGGAAGGAAGGAAGGAAGGAAGGAAGGAAGGAAGGAAGGAAGGAAGGAAGGAAGGAAGGAAGGAAGGAAGGAAGGAAGGAAGGAAGGAAGGAATTTAATAAAAAGTGGTGTCAAATAATTTTTTGTTTATATTTAAATTTATTTATGTAGCTTACAATAACCGTTAGTAATCAAAATGTATTGTTGAATTTAATACGTTGGAACTCTACAAGTTTAACCACATACCAAAATTATTTGTTATATCGATTATCATGGAGATTACCAACAGGGAATTTTTATCAATATCATTTTTCAGGTGGAATTATAAATATTTCTTGCATTGTTACACATTGCATTTAAATAAATTTATTATGATACAAATTATATTAATATTTAAATGATATATTGCAAAATAAAATTAATATACTCCGAATAATAGTCAGTCACAGACCCTCAATTTCTTCAATATTAAGTAATACTTGATATCACCATTTTCCTCATAATTTAGATTTATGTAAAGAAGAAAAAACTTGTAACGGAGCGGACGTTTAGAAGGAAGGGTTTGCAGCCTGAAAAATATATAATTGCTAAATTAAAAATAATTAATATCATATATTAAAAATTAAGGATTATTTTATTATTGCGTAGTCCATTCAACGCTATCCAAATTCAATGAAAATTAAATAAATCTAAAAATATCAAAAAATAAATTAAATAAAAAAATTAAAAATATTATATCTAAAATTTTAAAAATGTTAAAAAGTTAACGTACTTCTCCAATTATAACATGTATTAATGAGTATATTTTTTATAAGAAAATTATCTATATAAAAAAAATTTCTTGTCTGTTGCAAAACAAAATTTCATAATTATGTACAAAATTTGAATATCACAACAAGTTATATACTTTAAATATTTATTAATTTTTATTAATATGATAATTAATTGTTAGAATTAATTTATAAGAATGTATTATTGTATATATTTAGTTAAGAACCTTTAGTACAAGCATTCGAATGGATATAACTATTTGTTGCATATAAAATAACGACTATATATTAAACAAATACCCCCAAAATGAATAAATATTTAAGTATATAATTGTAAAAGGAACTAAATAATATATGAAAAAGGGTAGTGTTTGCAACGGTCCGGTCCGGTCCAGTCCGGTCTTATTAGACTTTTCAGTCCTATGGGACGGTCCCGTCCAACAACACGGTCCCACGGTCCGGTCCGACCGAAGACCGATTAAAGAATATAAAAGTTTACTATAAATTGCTTTATAGTTAATGTGTATGTACATGAACATATAAAATATGATTATTTAATGCCTAACACTATATAATATCTAATTCATCGTTTACTTTTTATATTCTTCCGTTTCATTAAATTCAATATTCACAGTTTACTTTTTATATTCTTCTTTGATTAGGCATTTGTGTATAATATAATAAAAATGAATTGATGATATAATTGAAATATTAATAGGGTAATTTAACTATTCATTTTTAATAAATTTAAATGCAGAATAAAACTTTTGTAGCTTTATAAAAAAAAATTTTTTAGGTGGGACCGGACCGCCTGGACCGGACCGGACCGACGGTCCCACGGTCCGGTCTCATTTGACTTAACGGTCCATCGGTCCGGTCTCATTTGACTTAACGGTCCATCGGTCCAGTCACATTTTAGAAAAAAGACCGGACCGGACCGGACCGGACCGGACCGGACCGGACCGGACCGGACCGGACCGTTGCAAACACTAAAAAAGGGGATTAAATATTTTTAAAAACGAAAAAATATATCAGGTAAAAAAAATTAAATTAAACGCATCTGCATAGAAACAGGATTAGATTATTTAAACTATTTTGAAGATATATTAAAATATTTTGGTGGAGGTAAAATAAAAAAATTTTTCCCCAGAGCATTTGTCTAGTTGAAATAGTATTCGTGAATGTTACACATAAGTTAAAAAATGTTATTTATGGCGAATTTTCTAAAATTCATAGGGTAGTTACTTTATACATGAATACAATTCACACAAAATCTTGTTTTTCAAGATTGATAATACGTGGAAATGATGTAAGTTTTTAAAAAATTTATAAAATCCTAGATAGCATAGTCTTAAATTTTCGATATTTAGCTTTTTCAATCTTGCTCTAAAAAAAATTTTTTTTAAATTATCCGTACACATATATCTGTTATATTATCCATAGTAATATTATTATTACAATTATCAATTTAAAAATAAAATTATTTAAACATAACCGATCTGATTTTTTATTCATTTTCCAATAACTAATGCATTATTAAAATACTAAATAAATTTAAGTTTATAAATATGGTTGTTAAATCCGGGCATATTACACCGGGAATGAATTTATTGAAAGAAATATTACCAAAATTCCCAATTTTTAAAATATTTTTAAAAATCATTAAAAAAAGTTATCGCAATGCATTGAATGTGCTGCACATGGAATTTAATTTAAAGATATATTTACCATGCAGCGAAAAATATATAAGGACTTACACCATAACAATAGAAATTGAAGGGGATAAATAATGTCATTGCAAAACTAAAAAAGATATAAGGTAATAATTAACCATACAATTGCCAAGTCTACCACGTTAGGGTGGTGTAAGCTCCAAATAGTTAGCCGAGCAATTAGAAGCACTAGAAATGAATCATAAGTCATTTTTAGTGCTTTTGTGTTTCAAATCATTGTGTAGCCAAAAAGGTCGATTAAAAGCATAAACAAAAAAATATATATCATTCTTTAGTGTTTCGTTAGTAGAGAGTGCTACTATAAGTTTAGTAGCCGAAATTAAGAATCAAAATTATTTGTGAAATATACAAAAATAAGCAAATAAAGGCGACATGCCAAAACAAAATAAAAGCAATGAACTTTTAGTTTTCACTAATATTTAGTGCTTAATTAATATATTTAAATTCTTTTATTAATTTAATAAACGACGTGGTAAATTAAGTTAGAAGTAAAATAAAAATAATGACACAATAGAAATAATAGATTCCTGGAAGATAATAGGCCATCGGAAATTAAAAAAAATTAGAAACATTTATTGGTGTTGAAAGGGTTGATTATAGTCAAAATGAAATCTATATTTGATAACCTATTTTACTAAACATTTAATTTATATTCTTATTATTTGCATTATTATTTATCTGTTATTACTTGTTATAATAATTTAAAATTGTTTACAATATAAACAATATCATTAATTCACAAAATATTCTAAGGAATTTTCTAACCCTATTTATTAAATAATATTAAATTCATATTCATTTTTTGAGGAGAAGAGAGGAACGGAGGTATTAATATTTTTATTAAATAACCAAATTTGTTAGGGAGGGAAAATTTTCCGCTTCCTTATCCTCTATTTGGTACGGTCATTTCCATTGTTCTGACAAGTGTTCATCACGATTAGATATTCTTTTCATAAATTTAGTAGAAACAAATTGTTTGGGCTATAATGTAGTCTCAAATAAACATTGCTAAGAAAGTGCCAATCAATTCGAACAATATATATTTATAGAACGCTTACTTAGAAAAAAGCTTAATATTTGGAGAATTGAAAAAAAAATGTAATAGAAAATATATTAGATATGATTTTCAAAATTTGTAGTTTATACTATAATTTTATTATAATAGATTATCCATTATTCAAGGTTAAAATACCGACAAAATTCTTAAATATTAATATTTTCTGCTCACATTATCTCTTATTATTAAGATCAATACATTTTTTAAATTATAATACCACAGATAACCCATTTTTCAAGGTTAAATGTCTAAAATATTTTAAAATGATTTTTAATATTTTTTGAGAATATTATCTCTTATCAAAGATATTTTCTTTTATAATAATTGAAAAAAAAAATTATTTTTCTTATACAAGATTCTTAAATATTTAAATAAATTGTAATTATAAATCGTCCTTAAATTATATAACTAAAATTTTCAAGAAAATGCGATTCATTATATTCCTATGCATCTTTGTTTTTAAAGCCAATCCAATTCCAAGTGGTTAAAAGAATTTTTATAATTATATATGTATTAGAAATGTCCTTCGTTGGCTTAAAGAAAACGAGGTAGAAAAAAAGAGAAAAAATTTTTATAGTAGGAAATAGAATAGATAAAGGAAAATTAATTGCTCGATTCTCCTCTACTTTGAGCTAATCTTGGTAACTGATACACCGTTCTATATACAGTCGGTGTAGTAGTTTAATATGGAATACCCTCCTATCCTTGTCTAAGATGAAATGTATGGGAGACAAAATCACCATTGATATCCTTCGAAATAACTACCTTTTTGAATATAAAACGTGATTTATTTGATGTCCAGTAATTCGATAAAATATGTCATTAGAAATTTTGTCAATTTGTCTGAGGTTCAAAATAGCTTATCAACTAGTTTGTTACATGTTCAATATTCGAATAACAGTATTATATTTTATTTCAGGATCGGAATTTTTATTGTAGTTAAGATATTAATTTTTTTAAATTAACGTGGAACATTTTTTTGATTTTCTATAGCAGTGATTGAATGAGCTAAACCCTTTCCTTATATTAATACAATTATGTATTTAGCAGATATAAAATGCAAATATATACGAATTAAGGTTTGGCCTTAAAGAATTTAAAAAATTATTCTTATAAATATCGTTTTACACAATCCAAGGGTTTATTTTTGATAAGATAATTTGAATGTGGTGAACTGTGTATATTATCTCTTTGAAATTTAGATACTTAATGTTACACTGTTGGTTTATTTAAGTATAATGGAATAACAATAGAATAATTTGCTAAAGGGAATATATTTGATAGATGAATTCAGAATTTTTAATTTGATAAAATTATTCCATTATGTTCTTATAATTAATTTAGAAAAAATGGGAAGAGTCTTTATATCAATGACAAATATATTTAATTTGTCGCATCATGATTCAAAAGAACACCCGGGGTTCTAAATATCAAAAAATATAAAATTTACTACACTGTAATAAAACATTATAGCTGTAACCACTGAACTCAGACAACTATGTTGGACGAAACATAAGCATGATTATCCTAACCTATTCAATACTATAGATGATTACGAGTGAGAAATTAATATTTTATGAAAAAACGTACAGGCGTGTATGAGAATATATTTTTCATATTAGATTGAGAATTATTAAACAATAATTTTTTTTCTAATCCTTTTTCAAAATCACAGAATATCTATTTTTAAGTTTCCATAGGTAAAGGCTTGAAGCAGAAGGCAAATATGATTTTATTTTAATTATAAAAAATTAATATAATTTATTTGAAGACAGATGATTCACATGATGCTAGTGTCAACATCTAGATTGAGATCCAAATTATTTTAAAAACAATAGTAATCACATCTTAAGATTAATATATGTATTAGAGTTTGGTATTTCTTTTACCAGAGAGTCATTATGTTAAAAATTTATATTTTAGAAGGATTTAATAAAATTTTGATCCAAGATTAAATGGGTTTAAGGCTAAATCTGGCTATCTCAACAATTTCAGCGTTATATTTATTCGATAATTACTTCAATTTATAGTAACATTTTTACTTATGCTCCTCATAAACACTCCCCCCCCTTGCTTCCAAAGTCAAAATTTTCAACAAAAAAAACTATTTTGGAATATATACACTATGTGTCTAAACCTCGAATTCCATAATTTTAATAATGAATTAATTTTAAAAAAAATAAAATATTAACTATGGAGTCACTCTAAATGCCTCTTTTCCATTAAATCTGTTTTCTTTAAAATATTTTTCGATAATAATATACAGAAAATTCAGTTTTTATTATATATGAATGATAATAAATAAAGGTTTTCGGAATTATATCTTAGTAAAGGAGAAAATAATTCAATAATATCCTTTATCCAAGGGGGTGATAGAAACCTAGATACATATTCATCAAACAATATTACCAACAAAACGATAAATTTATTTGAGAGGCCTCAATTATTAAACCTAATGCGATTGAACGAACTCAATTTAACATTAAATATTATAGCTGATATGAGTAGTCATTATTTATATAAATTAGCAACCTTTTTTTTTAGTTCGAAATTGGTTTTAATAACATTAGCGCTACGATGCTTTGTATGATGCCTTTAAACAATTTTGTGACAAATATGTGCAGGAACTATTAAAAGCAAATGTGAGTTAGGAAAGAAGAAAGCAAGTAAGGAAGGATGGAAGGGAGGAAGGATGGAAGGAAGGATGGAAGGAAGGATGGAAGGAAGGAATCATGGAAGGAAGGAAGGATGAAAGGAAGGAAGAATGAAAAGTGAACTTTAATAATAAAGAAGTTAAATAATTTTTGTTTATATTTATGTAGCTTACAATAACAGTTAGAAATCAAAATGTATCGTTAAAATTATATATTACAACTTCACAAGTTTAACCGCATATCTAAATTATTTATTCTATCGATTATCATGGAGCTTACCAACGGGGAATTTTTATAAATATTAATATTTAGGTGGAATTATAAATATTTCTTCCATTGTAACTCACTGTAATTAAATTTTACATGAAGCAAATTATCTTTTATAATATATATTCCTGTATTATTTTTATTTAAAATAAATAATATTCCCAAAATTGAATATGATTTTAATTTAAAAATGCTTATATGAAATTAATTAAACATAACCATTCTGAAATTATTAATTTTAAAAAATGATATTAACCAAATCTTTTCGTATTAGTATTACCTAATTTTATTTATTATATGAGCTTTTCTTATCTTCTAAATATTTCTCTCGGAACGTTTAACAGCAAGCTAGTCTTGTTGCAAAATGCAATGCGCATAAAATTAGCTGCGACTTGCTCAGCAAAATATGAGACGGTTTCTTTCCAGAGGTCCCTAGATTTTTTTAACCAGTTTGAGATGGTATTGAGAAAACTAATCCATCTCTTGTTACTTGAATATAATGTATAAATAAATTGTTGGTTACAATATCATTAATTCTCATAATTCGCAACAGCATTAAAAATTCCCAGGATTTTCCACTAGGTTTTAAATAGCATTTTATACTCATACTTTGAGGAGAAATAATAAACTGGGGTGAGGGAAAGTTAGAACTTTTTTTATTAGCTTAAACTGATAATTGCTAAAACTAACAAATTTTCTAAGGAATGGAAATTTTTCGCTTCAATCTACTTAACTTGTTAACGTCAATTCCACTTTTAATCTTCCTGACAAGTTTTTATCATGATAAGATTATCTTTCGATAAATGTCGTATAGAAAAATTGTTTGGGCTATAAAGTTATAATCAAATAAACATTGGTAAGAAAGTGCCAATCAATTCGAACAACATTTATTTATAGAACATTTACATTAGAAAAGAAAATGAATAATATTTGGAGAAATGAAAACAAATTTAATTAAAAATAGGTTAGATATGTTTTTCAAAATTCGTTGTATACTATAATTTTATTACAAAAGATTAACCCCAGGTAGTGTTGTTAAACGGCTCGTTTTGAGCCGATTTTTAAAAACGGCTAACTCAATATTTCGTCCAGAATAGTATTACGCAAGCCTGAAGATTTTGTTATAGAAGGAACAAAGGTTTGTATATCTATTAGCGAAATCTCGAGGCTTAGAAAATATTTTCCTAGCTAAAATATTGAATTAGCCGTTTTTAAAAATCGGCTCAAAACGAGCCGTTTAACAACACTAACCCCAGGTTAAAAAATTTTTAATACTTTCTGTACGCTTTATCGCTTATTATTAAGATCAATGAATTATTTTTAATTGAAATTATATATATACAAGGTATTTCAACTCTAAATAAAATAAAATGCTAATCTTTGCACAATATAATTTTTTTTAAAATCTAATTTTACTTAAATAAAATTTTATTTTCAATAAATAAATTTAATTATAAATCATTTTTTTTTAAAAAATTAAATTAAAAATAAAAATTTTATTTTTAAAATTATATAACTAGAATTTTCAAGAAAATGAGATTAATTCTATTCCTATGCATCTTTGTCTATATCAAAGCCAATCGGACTCCAAGAGGTTAAAAGAAATTTTTAAATTATATATGTAATAGAATTGTATTAGATCGTATAATCTCATAATAATTGGGTTTAAGGAATAGAATATTATTTAACGAGGTAGAAAAAAATAAGAAAAGTTATTTTATAGATCGGAAATAGAATAGATAGAGAAAAATAATTTGATTATCCTATATCTTAAACTAATCTTGCCAACTAATTATGTGGGATATTTGTTTTTAATTATTCTCTAAATACAGTTGGTCAAAGATGGAATAACCTCTTATCCTTATCTATGGTGAAGTGTATGTAAGACAAAGTCATCGCGATTAGTGTAGAATGATATCCTTTAAAATAAATACCTTTTTAAGTTATGAACGACGTGATGTATATGACGTTCAGTAATTCCATAAAGCATATCATTTGAAATTTTGTCAATTTGTCTGAGATTCAAAATAGCTTATCAACTTGTTTGTGACATTTATAATATTCGAATAAAGCTTATTTTTGTCAGTTTTTTTTTTTCATTTTAGGATCGGAATTATATTGTAGCAAAGATATTAATTTTTTTAAATTAACGTGGAATATTTTCTTGACTTCTATAAACATCGTAATGAATAAATAAGCTTAACTTTTTCCTTGTATTAGCAGACTTAAATAGTCAATATATTCAAATTATTTTATACAATCTAAATGTCGATATCAATAGGTTGAGTGAGGTGATTTTATCTTTGAAATACTGATACTTAATGCACACTGTTGTCTATTTAAGTGTAATAAAATCATTAAATTTTCTTTGATCTGTAATTATCGGTATATTCTAGGTCATGTGTTGAATAACAGTAGAATTGCTGGCTGAGGGTAATATCTATGATAGACAGTATAATATTAATATAGAAAAGAAGGAGAAAGTTTTTATAACAATTACATTTATATTTAATTTGTCACATTTATAGTCACATGATTCAAACACCTGGAACTATAAATAATATCAAAATCACATATTGACTTTACTATAATTAAATTAAACAATTTTTATTAGTTATAACGACTGAGTTCAAAAAACTATGTTGGGCGAAACATATTGATGATTATCCTAACTTTTTCAATATACGTATTACTAGAGATGTATTCGAGTGAGAAATTATTATTTTATGAAATAATGTACAAGCGTGCCATATAAAAATATTATTTAAATCTATATTAGTTTGAAAATTATATCTGCTTTCTTAATTAAATATTATTTCTAAAAATAATAGACAGAAGATTTAGTTTATTTATATATGAATGTATATTTGAAAAAAGGTTTTTGGATTTATATCTTAGTAGAGAAGATAATAATTCAATAGTATCCATTATCCAAGGGGGTGATAGGAACCTAGATAAATATTCGTCAAATAATATTACCAACAAAACGTTGATTTTATTTGACGGGCTTCAATTATTAAACTTAGTGCGGTTGAACGAACTCAATTTAACATTAAACATTACAGCTAATGTGAGTAGTCATTATTATACATATTAGTAACTTTCTTTTAGTTCGAGATTGATTTGAAAAGCATTGGTGCAACAATTATATTCTGTATGTTGCCTTTAAAGAATATTATGACAAGCATGTGTATGGAATTCATGAACACAAATGTGAGTTAGGAAGGAGGGAAGGAAGGAAGGAAAGAAGGAAGGAAGGAAGGAAGGAAGGAAGGAAGGAATGAAGGAAGGAAGGAAGGAAGGAAGGAAGGAAGGAAGGAAGGAAGGAAGGAAGGAAGGAAGGAAGGAAGGAAGGAAGGAAGGAAGGAAGGAAGGAAGGAAGGAAGGAAGGAAGGAAGGAAGGAAGGAAGGAAGGAAGGAAGGAAGGAAGGAAGGAAGGAAGGAAGGAAGGAAGGAAGGAAGGAAGGAAGGAAGGAAGGAAGGAAGGAAGGAAGGAAGGAAGGAAGGAAGGAAGGAAGGAAGGAAGGAAGGAAGGAAGGAAGGAAGGAAGGAAGGAAGGAAGGAAGGAAGGATGGAAGGATAGAAGGAAGGAAAGAAGGAAGGAAAGAAGGAAGGATGGAAGGATAGAAGGAAGGAAGGATGGAAGGTAGAAAGGAAGGAAGGATGAAAAGTGAAGTTTAATAATAATGAAGTTAAATAATTTTTGTTTATATTTAAATTTATTTATGTAGCTTACAATAACAGTTAGGAATCAAAATGTATCGTTAAAATTAATATATTACAACTTCACAAGTTTAGCCGCATATCCAAATTATTTATTCTATCGATTATCATGGAGCTTACCAACGGGGAATTTTTTTCAATATCAATATTTAGGTGGAATTATAAATATTTCTTCCATTGTAACTCACTGTAATTAAATTTTACATGAAGCAAATTATCTTTATTATTATATATTCCTGTATTATTTTTATTTAAAATAAATAATATTCCCAAAATTGAATATGATTTTAATTTAAAAATGTTTATATGAAATTAATTAAACATAACCATTCTGAAATTATAAATTTTAAAAAAAATTCTAACCAAACCCTTCCGTATTAACTAATTTTATTTAAGATATGAGATTTTCTTATCTTCTAAATATTTCTCTAGGAACGTTTAACAGCAAGCTAGTCTTGTTGCTAAATGCAATGCGCCTATAATTAGCTGCGACTTGCTCAGCAAAATATTAGACGGTTTCTTCCCAGAGGCCCCTAGATTTTTTTTTAATAATTTGAGATGGTAATGAGAAAACTAATCCATCTCTTGTTACTTGAATATAATAAAATATAGTATAAATAAATTGTATTCTCATAATTCGCAACAGCATTGAAAATTCCCAGGATTTTCCACTAGGTTTTAAATAGCATATTATATCATTCTTTGAGGAGAATTAATAAACTGGGATGAGGGAAAGTTAGAACTTTTTTTATTAGCTTAAACTGATATTTGCTAAATCTAACAAATTTTCTAAGGAATAGAAATTTTTCGCTTCCATCCACTTAACTTGGTAACGTCAGTTCCACTTTTATTCTTCCTGACAAGTTTTTATTATGATAAGATCATCTTTCGAAAATGTCGTAAAGTAAAATTGTTTGGGCTATAATGTAGTTATAATCAAATAAACATTGGTAAGAAAGTGCCAATCAGTTCGAACAACATTTATTTATAGAACATTTACATTAGAAAAGAAACTGAATAATATTTGGAGAATTGAAAACAAATTTAATTGATAATAGGTTAGATATGTTTTTCAAAATTCGTTGTATACTAAAAAAAATTTTTTAATTATAAAATATAATTTATTAGGCATACAAATATAAAAGTAAATAATACAGAATACTTATCCAATATATTCAAACTAGTTGATAGCCCGTCAAGAATAACGGGAATTAATGTTCTTAAATATTGGATATTAAACTTGTATCTTATATTATATTAAAATTTAGTAAAAAAGAGGTAAATTTGTAAATCGTACCTCATAAAATATTCTTAATTTCTGATTTAAATATTGGGAAAAATATTATTACCCGCCCTTCTCAAAGGGCATAATAATAACTAATAACACCAGAGCTCCCGTTAGTCAGCATTGCTGTTCGCTCCCCACCGCGTGAAGGTGGGAGATGGGTTTTAGGGGAGAAAGGGATGAGCAATGAATGAATAAAGGAAGGTAGAAATATAGGAAAAAGAGACAAAAATGTAAAAAAAAATTTGTAATAATTTACAACCATATACTATAAGCGTGGAATTAACGCCGCGTGCCGGTATGGGTTCTAAATCGCTAAACGATAAATATCCAAAAAAGGGAAAATGGCTATTAATGTTTTATTTAAAAAAATGAAGGTCCAAACCGTAGCAAAAAACATAAATAAATTACTTAAGTATAAGAAAATTAAGTATTTGAACTAAATTTGTAGTGTCTGTTTAATAATATAAATTGTAAGATATATATTTGTATTAAGTATTTAATATAACGATGTTTTATTGCCATTTAAAATATTTATTAAATTTCTAAAATGCTTTCTTAATAATATAATTTTTAATTGTATACTAAAATTTATTATAATTTCACATATAGATATTAATATATTCGTATTAAGTATTTAATATAACTATTGAAGAAATTTTTTATTGCCATTTAAAATACTTATTAAATTTGTAAAACGTTTTCTTATTACAAATTATAATTTCATAGAGCTTAATAATCCAATGAAAAAAAAATAAATATTGATTATTTTAGTTAATTTTTAAAAATCAAATATAAATAAAGATTTTTATAACAAAATATAAAGCTTTAAGGGGCTGAACGTTAAGAGCGTTTGCCTTATGGTAAAAACGTTTGCCTTATGGTAAAAACGTTTGCCTTATGGTAAAAACGTTTGCCTGGTAAAAACGTTTGCCTTTAAAATTAAAGCGCGAGTTCGAATCCCCAAGTAAGAAAAATTTTTTTTTTTTTTAAATTTAACATTTCCGAGATAATAAAAGCCCTCGATTTATTTAACATTAAGAAGATAGGAAAGTTGATAGAAAAAATAAAAATTAACGTTATGAAGATATGAAAGTTGATACCAAAAAAATTAACATTATAAAGATAGGAAAACGTTCATTTCTTGAATACGGCTATTATATATATAGATAGTTTACATGTACAACTTAAAAATATATTAAATCTAGTATATTAAAATATTTAATTTCCCGTAAAATATACATTTTAAAAAAAAATTACTGTATTTATAAAAATAATAAATATATTTAATTACAGGGATCCAAACCGAAACGAATATCGGTTCGGTTCAGGTTCAGGTTAGGATAAAAATAACGGTTCAAGGTGGGTTCGGTTCGCAAAAAATAAAAATATCGGTTCGGTTCGAACCTCTAATAACCGGTTTGAACACTTTTGTATTCAAACCTACATTAGGATTATGCATAAGGAAAATTTTTTTTTTATTTCATAATTAAAATAAAAACCTTCATTTTTATTAATTGAACATTATAAAATAATATTTAATTTATAAATATAACAAATAAATATATCAATGATTAATTTTAATATAAACAATTACTTAAATTTTTTTTATTAACCCGCACAATTAATATATTTTCAAAATTCGTCGCCCTCAAATTACATCTATAAGGAGATAATATAAATTTAATTGTTGAAAAAATCTTTCCACACTAACTTGGGTAGCTGGCATGACCAGTATGATATCAGATTTGATGTGTCATTTATAATACTATATGTAAATAATTTATATATTAGATTTAATTTTTTTTAGGCATTATATTTTATAAGCTTAAAATATTTAAAAAATGTTGTAAAAATAAAAATTATGACTGACGTTTATCAATCAAATGTAATTGATAATAATTTTTAAAACAATTTGAATAAAATTGAAATTTTTGCAATATACTATTACTAATAACTTATACATTATTTTATAAGCATAAAATTATGAGACTCGAACCGGTTCAGAGGCATTTTAGCGGTTCGGTTCAGGTTCGGCTAAATTTTTTTTAGAGGTTTAGGTTCGGTTTAGGTTCGATAAAAAATACCGGCTTTTAACGGTTTAACGGTTCGGTTCAGGTTCGGTTTGGATCCCTGTATAATTACAATCAAATATAAGTAATTTTTACATAACGGAATTTAAGCTAAATATATAATTTAACAATTCTAGAAATTTTAAGAAATTTAACAACCAACGACTTCATAATACAAAGTATAATAATGGAAATATAATTAGTGCAAATGATAATACGAGGAAGAAGGGCGGGGGTAGGAAGGTAATTTTAAATGATTTAGAAAAGAAGAAAAAAATCTAGATTAATCGGGCTGCTCGGGTAATGAACCTATGAAGCATGTGAAATTAGATCTAAAATTTCCAAAAAGATTCTGTACATGGTTTTGATAGCATGAGACCGATATATCTTCAAGACCTAACAATCCCTCTTATAAATTCTCAAACTACCCTACTCAACAGTATAACTCTCCTTTGTAACAGGATCTTACAGGGTGACGTTCCTATCTTCTCCCAGCCAATTATGTTTGGAGCAAAACTAATAGCTCTTACAAAATCCAACAAAGACTTACGCCCCATTGCCATAGGCACCCTCTTTAGGAGATTAGTATCAAAATTAATTGGCTCGAATCAATGAGAAAGTCTCCACAATTCTCACTTCAACTCAACTAGGGGTCGGTGTCAAAGGCGGCTGCGAGTCTGCCGCTCATATAACCCGAATCTATCTTCAAAATAATCCTCTAAATAAACACCTATTTAAAATTGACTTTAACAATGCTTACAACACAGTAAAACGATCTGTCTTCCTAAAATCCTTTATCAATAGCTTCCCATGCTACTCCAGTCTACATTTTAAGCTGCTATGCGAATCCCTCCATCTTAAAATATGGTGAATATAAGCTTTCTTCTTCAGAAGGAATTCAACAGGGTGATCCCCTAGGTTCGATATTATTTTGTCTAGGAAGAGACAATCTAATTAAAAAAATTAAAAGTAGTTGCCTCAACAAAAAAGAATTCTGTCAACCCACCTCTCAATCTCTCAACTGTCACGCCTTTAAAGAGGTTATGGCCAAAGAACTAACACATCTTGGCTCACCAGTTGGGGGTTGCTTAGCAGTTGAAGCCTTTTTCCAGGCTACTTCGAATAATTTAAACAACATGGAGGGTCTACTTATACAACTTCCCACGCATAAATCTTTCTTCTTAATAAAAAATTTCTTCAATATACCAAAGATCCTATATGCTCTACAGTCTACTGCTGTTTTTAAACATCCCAAACCCTTAAGAGCATATGAATCCATAAAACATCATGGAATAAACAAATAACCTCAAATTTAACTCCAATTCGTGGCATCAAGCCACTCTCCCCTGAAATAAAGGATGCTTAGGGTTACGATCATCGATAGCCTTATCAATTAGTGGTTTCATCTCGTCAAGATTGGCAAGCTACAAAATAATAACTGATCACCTGACCTTGCCAGATGCATTGCTTGACGAAGCTTATGTCATATGGCAAGCCTCAGTTGGAGATGAATGACCACCAGCCTCCCATAAACAAAAGGATTGGGATAATCCGATGATTGCAAGGTCCGTTGATTACTCTTTTCGACACTGCAATCTGAAGATCATGCCCTATTAGCTTCCCTCAACCGAGGTTCAGGACATGAATACTTGGATGCCATCCCCTTTAAAAACTTGATCTATAACTGTCAAATCAAGAATTCCGTTTTGCTGTAGCCATTCGATTAAATGTAACAACCTCAGTTTCATATAAGTGCGCCAAGTGCAAAAGGCCAGTAAGTCAAACTGGTCGTCATTGTCTCCAATGCATTTTTAGCAGTGGACGCTCAATCCGGCATAAAAGGTGTAATGCTCTCATAAAAAGAGCTTTACAGT